AGAGAGAAGAATCCCAAATTGAATTAATTCATCATAGACTCTTGGTAATGTATAAAGGTTTCTCTTTACTTTATATTAAATAAACGGGACTATTGAATGCCCTATGTGTCTATATTGTGAACTGATCCCTATTGATAGAACAGTTATATCTCATTCTACCTGCAGCCTGAGTCAGATATAACTTCCTAAGTCAGAACATTCTTGATTCCTTCTTTAGATGTAGATCAGTTCAAAATACATAGTAAAAACAAAGAGAACGTTACCTGCGCTCTGGCCTAAATCCCCATGTACATTTAAACAAAATGGAGGCTCTTTAGTTTTATTCCAATGGCCATTTGAATATATAAGTTCACCTGCCACGTCAAGGCAAGCCTCAATAGGTGAGTTCCTACACTAGCCATTAGATATGCTGATATCAGCCAAGAATCTCCAGTGAGACAGGAAGGGGTATTTTATAAACCCTTTCACATTTAACCCTTTATAGGGTTTCTACACATTCAATAAACTTTGCTGGTATCAGACAAAGTGTAAACATCTCTAATGAGACAGGAAGGGGTGTTTTATAAACCCCTACATACTTAACCCTGAATAGGGCTATAATGTACAAATCACCTTGCTGGTATCAGCTAAAAGGCAAATGTCTCTGATGAGACAGGAAGGGGTGCTGCCCCTACATACTTAATATCTCTTAATAAGACAAATGTGGGGAGGCTGGCAGCAATGTAACATAGCTGTGTAAGAGCAGGTAACGTTCTCTTTGTTTTTACTATGTATTTTAAGCTGTTGAATACTAAGCTACTGCTGCTGTAAGCGCAGTGCTTTATCTTTGTGTTCGTATATGATGTTTGTATCACACAGCCACATGTGTACATGTGTGTAACGGATTGCCCGGCACCCCGACTGGGTACCTCTGTTGAAAGATGCTCCTAGCGCTTCTTGAGGACTCCAAGCACTGCAGCAGACACCACAACCACCGAACCGGAGAAGCATACGAATGCTCTCAAGCATATGAATGCTGTAAGCAGCTGAACAGGAAAAGTATACAATCAGCTTACACTCCTGGAAATCAGCATACAATCCAATTCGTCTCTGATCTTGAAATCCATGTGTTTTTCGGTCCCATTGACCTTTTGCCAGCTGAAATAGAACCTCTTCCTCTGTAAACTCACATGTAATAAATGACTCATTTGTCCCTTTTCCTAACTGAGGCCCCTTTCCTTCATTTTCATCTGTAAATACAGAACAAAAATATTCATTGAGGCAGTCAGCTAGACCTTTATCCTCTTCTACATACCTTCCTTCTTTTGTTTTTAATCTAACTAATCCTTGTTTTACTTTCCTTTTCTCATTTATGTATCTAAAAAAATTTTTGTCCCCTTGTAACGGATCGACGGGCACCCCGACTGGGTACCTCCGTTGAAGCGCTTCCTGAGGACTCGAAGCACTGCAGCAGACACCACAACCACCAAACCGGAGAATCATACGTATGCTCTCAAGCATATGAATGCTGTAAGCAGCTGAACAGGAAAAGCATACAATCAGCTTACACTCCTGGCAATCAGCATACAATTCAATTCCCTCAATAACGAGACGACAATTCGTTTTGAGGTCAAGCAGAACTGACTGTACTGGCACATACAGCCTCTTTTATTCACAATCCACAAACATAGTACTGCCCACAGGGTTTTGAAATACAACCAATCAATCCGTACAATACACACAGACACTCCCACACAAAATCCTCCCCTCTCCCTGTGATATGATTACTGAACACAATGGGTAATATAATAATCACATGCAGAGAAATACAGTATTATAAAACATATCACAGGGAGCCCAAAACATGCAGTAACCCCATAAAAATATATCCTCTGAACCGGGGGATCTGGGTGAACCGCATATCCAAAATTCACCCAGATCCGTTCAGTAGTTTGGAAGATACAGTTTAATGCAGATTCTGCAGAACATATACAGGCTATATGAAAAATAATTACTGTATAATGTGTCCCCTGTTGTATAATTTAAAACTACTGAACGATGTCTTTGTGCACCAAAAGATGGCACCGTGTAGAAAACTCCAAACAGTGTCTGTGAGTTAAAATGGCCACCATCCATTGTTCTTACCATGTGCCTCTGATACATGAAATGGTGGCCACCCAGTAACTCCACAGTATGTCCCCAGATGGTTCTTAAAGGGCCAGCAGCAGCACAACACAAATCCCTTATGCCCAAATCATGTCTTTAAAGGGCAATACATCCCAGGGGCCATAGTCACATGGCAGGAGGCTGGCAATCAGTCTTGTCCAATGCCCAGTGGCAAGGTCGGTTTCGCCACAATGTATTACATGTGTTCCGTGTAACTCTGAGATACAGAGTTACACAGAACATGGGCACCGAGATACGGGGTTACATGGGCACTGAGATACAGAATTACACGGAACATGGGCACTGAGATACAGGGTTACATGGGCACTGAGATACAGAGTTACACGGAACATGGGCACTGAGATACAGGGTTACATGGGAACTAAGATACAGAGTTACATGGGCACTGAGAGACGGGATTACACGGCACTGAAATACAGGGTTACATGGGCACTTAAATACGGGGTTATATGGGCACTGAGATACAGGGTTACATGGGCACTGAGATAAGAGGTTATATGGAACATGGGCACTGAGATACAGGGTGTTCCGGTACACCCCGGTATAAGAGGTGTCCCTTTCCGAATAGAGAAGCACTAACGAAAGCTCCAATTAGCTGAACAGGAACCATACGAAATCCTTCACGAACCAAACAGCCAAACGAGTAAACCATACGAATCCAATACCCCCAAGTACGAGACCAAGCTCCGTATTGAGGGTTAAGCAGAGATCTGTTTAATCTGGGCTACCTGCCCGGTATTTATGCAGTATTCCACCAGGTGGACACTCTCTTAGGGGACCTGGTGGAAAACTGGGACAAATATAATACAGTAGCCAACAGAAACACTTTGGCTATAAACACTCCCCTTTATGCTGTACAGAACCCTCCTCTCTATCCTGGAGATAATTGGCAAGTAACTCAATTATCTCCCAGAATAGAGGCAAAACTCCATTTTACACGTGGAGGAAAAAAATACATAAAATTATACAACATTACAATAACTGAAGAAAATATATGGGTTCAACATATCCTCAGATAGCTTGGATCTGAGCGCACATTATTGCCGAATGGCGCTCAGATCCCATACACATAGTCCAATCGCCATGGAGCCAAATTTGTGCACATAGTCTTTCTGTATACGAATAGGCTCCATGGGATAGCTATCTGAGGTGAGTCCATTCGTGAATTAAAACTACCGAACAGGATGGCGTTCATATACAGAATCCACCGTAGGGAGGAGGTCAGCGGCTTCCACGTTGTTCGTGTAATTCAGTGTCCGTTTTTAGTTCCATACGATTTTCGACGAACACCGCTGGGCATTTGTACGTCCAAGATTGCCGCTGCCTCGTGTTCGGCACACGAACAACGACCACCCAGCCTACCCTTATCAATTAGAACGTGTCTGCGGTTAACCACAACGTTCTATTGAGGCCAAGAGGTTAACCAGCAGCACACTTCCATGCTGGGTGGCCGGTCGTTCGGCAGTTCATTCGGTAGTTAGGGAAATAAACGAATGGGGTGTACGGACAGGCAATTAACCGAACAAACAGACCAACCAAGGAGGAATAAAAGTATTTAAAAGACAGATGGGTCTGTCACATAGGGTTACATGGGCACTGAGATACAGAGTTACATGGGCACTGAGAGACGGGGTTACACGGTCACTGTGATACAGAGTTACACAGAACATGGGCACTGAGATACTGGGTTATATGGGCACTGAGTTACGGGGTTACACTGGCACTGAGATACAGGGTTACATTGGCACTGAGATACGGGGTTACACGGGCACTGAGATACAGGGTTACATGGGCACTGAGATACAGGTTACACAGGCACTGAGATACAGGGTTACATGGGCACTGAGATACGGGGTTACACTGGCACTGAGATACAGGGTTACATTGGCACTGAGATACAGGGTTACACAGGGCACTGAGATACAGGGTTACATGGGCACTGAGATACAGGGTTACACGGGCACTGAGATACATGGTTACACGGGCACTGAGATACAGGGTTACATGGGCACTGAGATACTGGGTTATATGGGCACTGAGATACGGGGTTACACTGGCACTGAGATACAGGGTTACATTGGCACTGAGATACAGGGTTACACAGGCACTGAGATACAGGGTTACATGGGCACTGAGATACAGGGTTACACGGGCACTGAGATACATGGGCACTGAGATACAGGGTTACATGGGCACTGAGATACAGGGTTACATGGGCACTGAGATACTGGGTTATATGGGCACTGAGATACGGGGTTACAATGGCACTGAGATACAGGGTTACATTGGCACTGAGATACAGGGTTACACAGGCACTGAGATACAGGGTTACATGGGCACTGAGATACGGGGTTACACTGGCACTGAGATACAGGATTACATTGGCACGGAGATACAGGGTTACACGGGCACTGAGATACAGGGTTACATGGGCACTGAGATACAGGGTTACACGGGCACTGAGATACAGGGTTACATGGGCACTGAGATACAGGGTTACATGGGCACTGAGATACAGGATTACATTGGCACAGAGATACAGGGTTACATGGGCACTGAGATACAGGGTTACATGGGCATTGAAATAAACAGTTGCTGACACTGCGACAGGCATCTGGTACCGAAAATATTTCCAGAAATTCTGTGTAAGCGGCCTTCAGCTTGTTACACACAGAGAGAATGGTAAATGCTAAACACAGGTAACTGTCACAACTTCATAAGAGAGACTGGTTATAATACAGAGAATGAAGGAATCCGTAAAGACAGGATGAGGTTTGACTGTCTTTATATATTTCCATGAGTTTGATGTCAGTCTCTTTTTCTCTCTGCCTCCCATTCTGACTGACTTATAATCTATCTCCCTATTTTATACTCTGTCTCTCTCTAACACTGTCTCTCTCTAACATTCCGTCTCACATTCTGTTTCTCTCTCTAACACTCTGTCTCTCTCTAGCACTCTGCCTCTCTCTAACATTCTGTGTCTCTCTCTCTCTAACATTCTGTCTCTCTCTCTTTCTCTCTCTAACATTCTGTCTCTCTCTAACAATCTCTCTCTCTCTCTAACACTCTCTCTCTCTTTCTCTAACATTCTGTCTCTCTCTAACACTGTCTCTCTCTAACATTCCGTCTAACATTCTGTCTCTAACACTCTGCCTCTCTCTAACACTCTGTCTCTCTCTAACACTCTGCCTCTCTCTAACATTCTGTCTCTCTAAAATTCTGTCTGTCTCTCTATCTCTAACATTCATTCTGTCTCTCTCTAACACTCTGTCTCTCTCTAACATTCTGTGTCTCTCTCTCTCACTAACATTCTGTCTCTCTCTAACATTCTGTCTCTCTCTAACACTCTGTCTCTCTCTAACATTCTGTGTCTCTCTCTCTCACTAACATTCTGTCTCTCTCTAACATTCTGTCTCTCTCTAACATTCTGTCTCTCTCTAACAATCTCTCTCTCTCTCTTTCTCTAACATTCTGTCTCTCTCTCTAACACTCTGTCTCTCTCTAACACTCTGCCTCTCTCTAACACTCTGTCTCTCTCTAACACTCTGCCTCTCTCTAACATTATGTCTCTCTAAAATTCTGTCTGTCTCTCTATCTCTAACATTCATTCTGTCTCTCTCAAACACTCTGTCTCTCTCTAACATTCTGTGTCTCTCTCTCGCTAACATTCTGTCTCTCTCTAACATTCTGTCTCTCTCTAACAATCTCTCTCTCTCTAACACTCTCTCTCTCTAACATTCTGTCTCTAACATTCTGTCTCTAACAATCTCTCTCTCTCTAACACTCTGTCTCTCTCTAACATTCTGTGTCTCTCTCTCGCTAACATTCTGTCTCTCTAACATTCTGTCTCTCTTTCTCTCTCTAACAATCTGTCTCTCTCTCTAACACTCTCTCTCTCTCTAACATTATGTCTCTCTCTAACATTCATTCTGTCTCCCTAACATTCTGTCTCTCTCTCTCTAAAACTCTGTCTCTCTCTCTCTAACATTCTCTCTCTCTCTCTCTAACATCCTGTCTCTTTCTAACATTCATTCTGACTTGCTAACATTCTGTCTCTAACATTCTGTCTCTCTCTAACATTCTGTCTCTCTAACATTCTGTGTGTCTCTCTCTCTAACATTCTGTCTCTCTCTAACACTCAGTCTCTCTCTAACACTCTGTCTCTCTCTAACAATCTGTCTCTCTCTAACATTCTATCTCTCACTCTCTCTCTAACATTCATTCTGTCTCTCTCTAACATTCTGTGTCTTTTTAACATTCATTCTGTCTCTCTAACATTCTGTGTCTCTATCTCTAACATTCTGTCTCTCTCTAACACTTTGTCTCTCTCTCTAACATTGTGTCTCTCTCTAACATTGTGTCTCTCTCTAACACTGTGTCTCCCTCTCTAACATTGTGACTCTCTCTCTAACATTGTGTGTCTCTCTCTAACAGTCTATCTCTCTAACATTATGTCTCTCTCTAACATTGTGTCTCTCTCTAACACTCTGTCTCTCTCTAACATTCTGTGTCTCTCTCTCTAACATTGTCTCTCTCTAACACTCTGTGTCTCTCTCTAACATTCTGTCTCTCTCTAACACTCTGTCTCTCTCTAACACTGTCTCTCTCTCTCTAACATTGTGTCTCTCTCTCTCTGTGTCTCTCTCTAACAGTCTCTCTCTCTCTCTAACATTGTGTCTCTCTCTAATACTCTGTCTCTCTCTCTAACATTCTGTCTCTCACTTTCTCCCTCTCTCCATGTCTCACTCTCGGGATATATCACCCTCTGTCTCTCTCCGTTTCTCTGCTTTTTTGGGATATTTAGCAGACGGGTTCTGTCTGTCTATGTTTATATGTTAAACCTTATAACACCCATCTGTTTGCCATATAAGGAAATAAAGAGATGTCAGGGACCTCTCCCTAGCCTGCCCCCTCATCCTCATTCCAAACCTACTTTCTCATCCTTAGAGCGCTTCCCCTCATCCTTCAGTCCTCTCATCCTGCGCTCTCACACTCTCAGTCCTCTCATCCTGCGCTCTCACACTCTCAGTCCTCTCATCCTGCGCTCTTATACTCTCAGTCCTCTCACCCTGCACTCTCAAACTCTCAGTCCTCTCATCCTGCGCTCTCATACTCTCAGTCCTCTCATCCTGCGCTCTCATACTCTCAGTCCTCTCGTCCTGCGCTCTCATACTCTCACTCCTCTGGTCCTGTGCTCTTATACTCTCAGTACTCTCATCCTGCGCTCTCATACTCTCAGTCCTCTGGTCCTGTGCTCTCATACTCTCAGTCCTCTCATCCTGCACTCTCAAACTCTGTCCTCTGGTCCTGCGCTCTCATACTCTCAGTTCTCTCATCCTGCGCTCTCATACTCTCAGTACTCTCATCCTGTGCTCTCATACTCTCAGTTCTCTCATCCTGCGCTCTCAAACTCTCAGTCCTCTCATCCTGCACTCTCAAACTCTGTCCTCTGGTCCTGCGCTCTCATACTCTCAGTCATCTCGTCCTGTGCTCTCATACCTCAGTCCTCTGGTCCTGTGCTCTCATACTCTCAGTACTCTCATCCTGCACTCTCAAACTCTGTCCTCTGGTCCTGCGCTCTCATACTCTCAGTTCTCTCATCCTGCGCTCTCATACTCTCAGTACTCTCATCCTGCGCTCTCATACTCTCAGTTCTCTCATCCTGCGCTCTCAAACTCTCAGTCCTTTCATCCTGCACTCTCAAACTCTGTCCTCTGGTCCTGCGCTCTCATACTCTCAGTCATCTCGTCCTGTGCTCTCATACCTCAGTCCTCTCACCCTGCACTCTCAAACTCTGTCCTCTGGTCCTGCGCTCTCATACTCTCAGTACTCTCATCCTGCGCTCTCATACTCTCAGTTCTCTCATCCTGCGCTCTCATACTCTCAGTTCTCTCATTCTGCGCTTTCATACTGCCATCCTTTTGCCACCAAGTGCGATCTTTGCGTTAGTTGCTAATTGTAACCTTTTTCTGTAGACCCGACCTGCAAAGCTGTGACTAAGCGTTCTAATCCAGCGCTTGTTCCGTTTTACAAAGTAGCGCACATTGTCACATTGTTAGATTGCAAATAGTCATTGGACTTTATCCTGCCTGGGAAAAATGGAGGATTTGGGTAAGTGTTTGATGGGAGCGGAATCCGTCCTCTTGTTGAAAGGTAGAATTTGTAGATCAGTAGATTTCCACATTGTACCTTAGTTGACAAACTGCCCGATGTTTCGTTATGTCTTGCGAACAGTGCACTGCTTCTGCCTAGTGTCTCAGTTTTTGCAAGTTATCTTTGTGTCATTGGGTCCAGGGATGTCTGGCGTTTGCATCTGACTATATTCTCCAAATGTACTAATTTGCTGTATAGCCGAGCATCATTGTGATGTATTCCAGGATTCTTTTCAAATAGTTTTTACTGATTTTTACATTTTTATAAAACAACAATATAATTTTAAAACAAACATATAATGGCATAGTACATTAAAGAAAAAAAAGAGAAAAAAAAAAGAATAAGAAAAGGGGAAAGGGGGCAATCAGTTTTGTCATTAATAAAAATAGGTCTGTAGTGTTTCCAATATACAGCAGAGATGCAGGTACCTCATACTACCATCGTCACAGGGTGTGTGATCGGATACGATGCCTTTTTTTATCACCTCGGTTTCCCAGATATTCCATTGATGTTTTAAAGTATCAGAATGTGGATGGTTTGTATTAGTGCCTGTTCATATCTTTTATTATCAAGTATCATATTTATAACTTCTTTACCTGCAAATTGTCAAAATGTTCATCTGGGGAATTTAAAATCTGCTAAAAATATTCACCTCAAAACCAATACACATGTTTTATGAATTGTGAATTAAATTGTAAATGGTATTTTCTTTATATACTGGATGAATTCTAAAAACAATTCAACGGTTATAGTAACTCCTAATCATTATTCATTCATTTTATTTTCTCATTTATTTGAGTCTATATAGTGCGTGATATGTCTTGGACAGTCCAGGGGGTTGTGTCTATCAGAGTGTGAAATGTCTCAGACAGTCATAGAATGTGACGGCAGATAAGAACCATTCGGCCCATCTAGTCTGCCCAATTTTCTAAATACTTTCATTAGTCCCTGGCCTTATCTTATAGTTAGGATAGCCTTATGCCCATCCCACGCATGCTTAAACTCCTTTACTGTGTTAACCTCTACCACTTCAGCTGGAAGGCTATTCCATACATCCACTACCCTCTCAGTAAAGTAATACTTCCTGATATTATTATTTTTTTTATAAATTCTTTATTTTGAAGATTTTTGTCGTTTAACGTGGGGATACAGAAAGGAAAAGTTGGTGGTACAATTGTTATACATAGTTTACAGAGTTATCATATTCTCATGTAGCATATGATCAGGCTATATCATGTGGCATATCTTTCAACTTTTCTTTGGGAATTGGGTGGGGTACAGAAAAAAGAAGAGGGGAGGTGAGTGGGGTACATTTACATACAGTTTCTATTCTTCCTTTAAATCAATCAGGTTCTCTTTATGTTGGTGGGTCTGGGTGGTTTGGGGAATGAGTTGGCTTGTGTGAGCCTTTTGCGTGGTGTAGTGTCCGTGATGGGTTGCGTCGTACGATGTTAGCGCATATTGTTCCATTGGGTGGGAGTGAGGGGGCAGGTGTTTGGGGGTACCTTTTCCTGCCTGTTTTGCGTTGTTTCCTAGTTCAGGTGTTGCCTATGCTCGGGTTTGGTCGAGTTCCTGAAATTATTTTTAAACCTTTGTCCCTGTAATTTAAAACTATGGCCTCTTGTTGTGGTAGTTTTTCTTCTTTTAAATATAGTCTCCTCCTTTACTGTGTTGATTCCCTTTATATATTTAAATGTTTCTATCATATCCCCCCTGTCTCGTCTTTCCTCCAAGCTATACATGTTAAGATCCTTTAACCTTTCCTGGTAAGTTTTATCCCGCAATCCATCAACCAGTTTAGTAGCCCTTCTCTGAACCCTCTCTAAGGTATCAATATCCTTCTGAAGATACGGTCTCCAGTACTGTGTACAATACTCCATGTGAGGTCTCACCAGTGTTCTGTACAATGGCATGAGCACTTCCCTCTTTCTACTGCTAATACCTCTCCCTATACAACCAAGCATTCTGCTAGCATTTCCTGCTGCTCTATTACATTGTCTGCCTACCTTTAAGTCATCTGAAATAATCACCCCTAAATCCCTTTCCTCATATGTTGAGGTTGGGACTCTATCAAATATTCTGTACTCTGCCCTTGGGTTTTTACGTCCAAGATGCATTATCTTGCACTTATCCACATTAAATGTCAGTTGCCACAATTCTGACAATTTTTCTAGTTTACCTAAATCATTTGTCATTTGGCTTATCCCTCCTGGAACATCAACCCTGTTACATAGAGAATGGGTCCAAGTACAGATCCCTGAGGTACCCCACTGGTGACAAGTCCAAGCTTCGAATATATTCCATTAACTACAACCCTCTGTTGCCTGTCACTCAGCCACTGCCTTACCCATTCAACAATATTTGAATCCAAACTTAAAGATTGCAGTTTATTGATAAGCCTTCTATGTGCAACAGTGTCAAAAGCCTTACTGAAATCTAGGTAAGCAATGTCTACTGCACCACCCTGATCTATAATTTTAGTTACCCAATCAAAAAAATCAATAAGATTAGTTTGACATGATCTCCCTGAAGTAAACCCATGTTGTCTCTGATCTTGAAATCCATGTGTTTTAGATGTTCATCAATCCTATCCTTTAACATGGTTTCCATCACTTTCCCCACTACTGAAGTAAGGCTTACTGGCCTATAGTTGCCCGACTCCTCCCTATTACCTTTCTTGTAAAAGGGCACAACATTCGCTAACTTCCAATCTTCTGGGACTACTCCTGTTAACAATGATTGGTTAAATAAATCTGTTAATGGTTTTGCTAGTAAACCATGGGGTTGTGTCTATCCAAGTGTGATATGTGATATGTCTTGGACAGTCCATGGGATGGTGTCTAACAGTGTGTGATATGTCTTGGATAGTCCAGGGGATGGTGTCTAACAGAGTGAGATATGTATTGGACAGTCCAGGGGATGTCTTCTAACAGAGTGTGATATGTCTTGGACAGTCCATGGGATGGCGTCTATCAGAGTGTGATATGTCTCGGACAGTCCATGGGATGGTTTCTAACAGAGTGTGATATGTCTTGGACAGTCGAGGGGATGGTGTCTAACAGAGTGTGATATGTCTTGGACAGTCCATGACATGGCTTCTTACAGAGTGTGATATGTCTTGGACAGTCGAGAGGATGGTGTCTAACAGAGTGTGATATGTCTTGGACAGTCCATGACATGGCTTCTTACAGAGTGTAATATGTCTTGGATAGTCCAGGGGATGGTTTCTAACAGAGTGTGATATGTCTTGGACAGTCGAGAGGATGGTGTCTAACAGAGTGTGATATGTCTTGGACAGTCCATGACATGGCTTCTTACAGAGTGAGCTATGTCTTGGACAGTCCAGGGGATGGCTTCTAACAGAGTGTGATATGTCTTGGACAGTCCAGGGGGTTGTGTCTAACTGAGCGTGATATGTCTCGAACAGTCCATGAGATGGCTTCTAACAGAGTGTGATATGTCTCAGACAGTCCATGGGATGGTGTCTAACAGTGTGTGATATGTCTTGGATAGTCCAGGGGATGGTGTCTAACAGAGTGAGATATGTCTTGGACAGTCCAGGGGGTTGTGTCTAACTGAGCGTGATATGTGTCGAACAGTCCATGACATGGCTTCTTACAGAGTGTGATATGTTTGGACAGTCCAGGGGATGGCGTCCATCAGAGTGTGATATGTCTCGGATAGTCCATGACATGGCTTCTTACAGAGTGTGATATGTCTTGGACAGTCCAGGGGATGGCGTCTATCAGAGTGTGATATGTCTCGGACAGTCCATGGGATGGTTTCTAACAGAGTGTGATATGTCTTGGACAGTCCAGGGGGTTGTGTCTAACTGAGCATGATATGTCTCGAACAGTCCATGAGATGGCTTCTAACAGAGTGTGATATGTCTCAGACAGTCCATGGGATGGTGTCTATCAGAGTGTGAGATGTCTCGGATAGTCCATGACATGGCTTCTTACAGAGTGTGATATGTATTGGACAGTCCAGGGGATGGCGTCTATCAGAGTGTGATATGTCTCGGATAGTCCATGACATGGCTTCTTACAGAGCGTGATATGTCTTGGACAGTCCAGGGGATGGCGTCTATCAGAGTGTGATATGTCTCGGACAGTCCATGGGATGGTTTCTAACAGAGTGTGATATGTCTTGGACAGTCCAGGGGGTGGTGTCTAACTGAGCGTGATATGTCTCGAACAGTCCATGAGATGGCTTCTAACAGAGTGTGATATGTCTTGGACAGTCGAGGGGATGGTGTCTAACAGAGTGTGATATGTCTTGGACAGTCCATGACATGGCTTCTTACAGAGTGTAATATGTCTTGGATAGTCCAGGGGATGGTTTCTAACAGAGTGTGATATGTCTTGGACAGTCGAGAGGATGGTGTCTAACAGAGTGTGATATGTCTTGGACAGTCCATGACATGGCTTCTTACAGAGTGAGCTATGTCTTGGACAGTCCAGGGGATGGCTTCTAACAGAGTGTGATATGTCTTGGACAGTCCAGGGGGTTGTGTCTAACTGAGCGTGATATGTCTCGAACAGTCCATGAGATGGCTTCTAACAGAGTGTGATATGTCTCAGACAGTCCATGGGATGGTGTCTAACAGTGTGTGATATGTCTTGGATAGTCCAGGGGATGGTGTCTAACAGAGTGAGATATGTCTTGGACAGTCCAGGGGGTTGTGTCTAACTGAGCGTGATATGTGTCGAACAGTCCATGACATGGCTTCTTACAGAGTGTGATATGTTTGGACAGTCCAGGGGATGGCGTCTATCAGAGTGTGATATGTCTCGGATAGTCCATGACATGGCTTCTTACAGAGTGTGATATGTCTTGGACAGTCCAGGGGATGGCGTCTATCAGAGTGTGATATGTCTCGGACAGTCCATGGGATGGTTTCTAACAGAGTGTGATATGTCTTGGACAGTCCAGGGGGTTGTGTCTAACTGAGCATGATATGTCTCGAACAGTCCATGAGATGGCTTCTAACAGAGTGTGATATGTCTCAGACAGTCCATGGGATGGTGTCTATCAGAGTGTGAGATGTCTCAGACAGTCCATGGGATGGAGTCTAACAGAGTGTGATATGTCTCGGACAGTCCATGGGATGGCATCTAACAGAGTGTGATATGTCTCAGACAGTCCAGGGGGTGGTTTCTAACAGAGCGTGATATGTCTCGTACAGTCCATGAGATGGCTTCTAAAAGAGTGTGTTATGTCTCGGACAGTTCAGGGGATGGTGTTTAACAGAGTGTGATATGTCTCAGAGACACCATGGGATGGCGTCTAAGAGTGTGATATGTCTCGGACAGTCCAGGGGATGGTGTCTAACAGAGTGTGATATGTCTCAGAGAGTCCATGGGATGGCGTCTAAGAGTGTGTGATATGTCTCAGAGAGTCCATGGGATTGTGTTTAACACAGTGTAATATGTCTCAGAGAGAGTGTTGGTGCATGTTTTAGTTTCTACACTGGGGCCCTAATATTTTTTCTTCTGATTGTGACATATTTTTAACTGAGACACTGTGGATGTGACATGTCTTCTGATTTTGACATTTAGATGCTCTCCTTGCTGACCTTCAGATCACATCCCCTGCCCATTGCCCTGTACTGTTGACAGATTCTCCTGGTATGCCTGAGAATAGAGAATCACGCCCTCCACCACCACCATATGAACCCCAGGTAAGTCCTGTCTCAGAGCCACCTAGTCCATATGTACTGTCATTCCATGGAACTGCAAGTATAATATTTTGGTCAAGCATGTCCAGTGTCTTCTTCTAATGACCAACTTGTTATTTGACAGATTTCAAGCTCGGAGAATCACGGAAACCAAGCCCACCTTTACAGGTGACCTCTCTGCACTCTATGTGACAGTCCTATTTCTTGATATGTCTGCCCCATTCCTGACCTCTGTTAATGATACTCCCTCTCTTGGTATGGCTTAAGGTGTCTCTCTCTGATGTTTCAGTCTCTCACATGGAGTCTCCATCTTGTCTCATACCCAAGTGTGTCTCTAATGTAATCTCGTAGATCGTTTCTCGTAGAAAGACTTCACATAAACCTGTCATTCCCCATCTCTAATGCAGTGTTCAGAGTTAAATGTTGAATCTCAAGTCTCAGTCCCTGATCTCTGTCATTTTCTCATGCAGTCTAATTCCCTGATCTGTTTTTCTTACATACAGTCTCATTCCCTGATCTCTGTCTCTCTCACATGCATTCTTATTCCCTGATCTCTATCTCTCTCACATAGTCTTGTTCGTTGATCTCTGTTTCTCTCTCTCGTTCCCTGATCTCTATCGCTCTCACATGCAGTCTCATTCCTTGATCTCTGTTTCTCTCTCACATGCAGTCTCGTTCCCTGATCTCTATCTCTCTCACATGCAGTTTTGTTCCTTGACTTGTCTCTCTCTCACATGCAGTCTCATTCCCTGATCTCTGTTTCTCTCACATGCATTCTTATTCCCTGATCTCTGTCTCTCTCACATACATTCTTATTCCCTGATCTCTGTCTCTCACATGCAGTCTCTCTCACATGCAGTCTCTGTCTCTCTCACATGCATTCTTATTCCCTGATCTCTATCTCTCTCACATAGTCTTGTTCTTTGATCTCTGTTTCTCTCTCACATGAAGTCTCGTTCCCTGATCTCTATCGCGCTCACATGCAGTCTCATTCCTTGATCTCTGTTTCTCTCTCACATGCAGCCTCGTTCCCTGATCTCTATCTCTCTCACATGCAGTCTTGTTCCTTGACTTGTCTCTCTCTCACATGCAGTCTCATTCCATGATCTCTGTCTATCTCTCCTTAGCACAGTACAGAAGAATCCCTCAACTATGGCTACTCCTGTCATTGGAGTAGGACTATGTGAGCTTGACAGATTACTCAATGAACTAAATGCGACTCAGTTTAACATAACAGGTACAGAAAGTCCATGAGCGCTCACTCACTACTTGTACTCCTGCTTTTTTTCCTTTCCCATCTCTTCCCGTCTCCATATCTGAAGCATATTCTCCATTTTCATAATCAATCCATTCAGGGGAACAACATATTAAAAAATGGCACGAATCAGACCAGGGGTTCAAAAGTTAAGGGAAAGTCCTTTGTGACTAAATGAAGCATGCCTTTCTGGCCCAAACCAGTTTCAGAGTCTTCTATCCTGGAGAGTAATTCAATTATCTCCCAGGACAGACACAAGACTCCATTAAGCACATGGTTGCAAAAAGACACAAAACACTTTAAAATACATAAAGTCACCTTTACACATAACACACAGACATTTCACATATCCCCAGATAGCTGGGATCTGAGTGCACATTATTAGATGAATGGCACTCAGATCACACAAATAAGCCTTTCTGCAGGGGAAATAAACGGTTTAACCTGCAGGGCCATAGTCCAAAGGGAGCAGGCGAGCAACCAGGCTTCTCCAGTTCACAGTGGCGAGGTTGGTTTCGCCACACTTCTCCCCTTTACCAACTAGACTAACAGGGTATCTGACCTCCTGCCGGTCAGTGCCCTGGTTAGTCCAGCAACCCACCCACAAAACAGAAACAGCAGTACAGCCCACCCACAATAACTGGTTACTACACCTGCGTAGAGGAGAACTTTGTCCATGTCCAGGTGCCTCACCACGACTGTGTGAGCAACTGTTAGGCTGCCTTGGTGGGTTGCTGAGTGGGCATTTTCTCTCATTATAATAAGCATTTACATATACATTGTATATACATTCTGCAGTGCTTTACTATCATAGAAAGGGGGAATTTAGAGGTGAAACAAGTTTACAAACTATGAGGAAAGGTGGATATATATCACCAGGTGCCTTATCCAGGGAATTGAACCTAGGTTTACGAATTTAACGGCAGTGATGCCACCAATGCTATAAGCAGCCATAGCTACAGTATGTCTCTCTCACAGCTTCCTTCTCACAACAAACCAACAAATTGCTCAATCTCACTTGTATTGTTTGAGTCTCCATTATGCTCTTAAATCCTAATTTCTTTTTCATCAGATGAAATCATGTCCCAATTCCCATCAGGAAAGAAGTCAGAACTGCAGAAAGAGGAGGAAAAGAGGTCAGAAACTAGGTCAAATCCTAGATCATAGCTGAATTCCTAGTTCGTGAATGCATGCCTAGATCATGTCTAGTTTCTACCTTAATGCCTAGTTCATTTCTGAGTATCTGGTACATATCCGAATGCCTTGGTCCTTTCTGAATGCTGGGTTAATATCTGCATGCTTAGGTCTGCATGTCCGAGTGCCTTGTTCATGTCTACGTGCCTACTTCATGTCAATGTGCCTTGTTCATGACTACGTGCCTTGTTGATGAATGATGAAGCAGTGTGATATAATGATGGAGCAGTATGATGATATAATGATGGAGCAGTGTGATGATATAATGATGGAGCAGTATGATGGAGCAGTGTGATGATATAAAGATGGAGAAGTATGATGACATAATGATGGAGCAGTATGATGATATAATGATGGAGCAGTGTGATGATATAAAGATGGAGAAGTATGATGATATAATGATGGAGCAGTGTGATGACATAATGATGGAGCAGTATGATGATATAATGATGGAGCAGTATGATATAATGATGGAGCAGTATGATGATATAATGATGGAGCAGTGTGATGACATAATGATGGAGCAGTATGATGATATAATGATGGAGCAGTATGATATAATGATGGAGCAGTATGATGATATAATGATGGAGCAGTGTGATGATATAATGATGGAGCAGTGTGATGATATAATGATGGAGCTATGTGATGGTATAATGATGGAGTAGTGTGATGATATAAAGATGGAGCAGTATGATATAATGATGGAGCAGTATGATAATATAATGATGGAGCAGTATGATGATATAATGATGGAGCATTGTGATGGTATAACGATGGAGCAGTGTGATGGTATAACGATGGAGCAGTAAGATGATATAATGATGGAGCAGTATGATGATATAATGATGGAGCAGTATGATGATATAATGATGGAGCAGTGTGATGATATAATGATGGAGCAGTGTGATGATATAATGATGGAGCAGTATGATGATATAATGATGGAGCAGTGTGATGATATAATGATGGAGCAGTGTGATGATATAATGACGGAGCTATGTGATGGTATAACGATGGAGCAGTATGATGATATAATGATGAAGCTGTATGATGATATAATGATATAATGATGGAGCAGCATGATAATATAATGATGGAGCAGCATGATGATATAATGATGGAGCAGTATGATAATATAATGATGGAGCAGTGTGATGGTATAATGATGGAGTAGTGTGATGATATAATGATGGAGCTATGTGATGGTATAATGATGGAGTAGTGTGATGATATAATGATGGAGCTGTGTGAAACATTATACCATCACACTGCTCTATCATTATATCATACAGCTCCATTGTTATGTCATCACACTTCTCCATTATATCATCACACTGCTCCATCATTATATCATACTGCTCCATCATTACATCATCACACTGCTCTGTCATTATATCACACTGCTCCATTGCTATATCATCATCATACTGCTCCATCATTATATCATCATACTGCTCCATCATTATATCATAACACTTCTCCATCATATTATATTATGATGGAGCAGTATGACGATATAATGATGGTGCAGCATGATAATATAATGATGGGGCAGCATGATGATATAATGATGGAGCAGTATGATAATATAATGATGGAGCAGTATGATTATATAATGATGGAGCAGCATGATGATATAATGATGGAGCAGTGTGATGATATAATGATGGAGCAGCATGATGATATAATGATGGAGCTATGTGATGGTATAATGATGGAGTAGTGTGATGATATAATGATGGAGCTGTGTGATAATATAATGATGAAGTGTGATTATATAATTATGGAGCTGTATGATATAATGATGGAGCAGTGTGATGATATAATGGCCGAGCTATGTGATGGTATAACGATGGAGCAGTATGATGATATAATGATGAAGCTGTATGATGATATAATGATGGAGCAGTATGATGATATAATGATGGAGCAGTGTGATGGTATAACGATGGAGAAGTAAGATGATATAATGATGAAGCTGTATGATGATATAATGATGGAGCAGTGTGATGATATAATGATGGAGCAGTATGATGATATAATGATGGAGCTATGTGATGGTATAATGTTGGAGCTATGTGATGGTATAATGATGGAGTAGTGTGATGATATAAAGATGGAGCAGAATGATGATATAATGATGGAGCAGTATGATGATATAATGATGGAGTAGTGTGATGATATAAAGATGGAGCAGTATGATGATATAATGATGGAGCTATATGATGGTATAATGATGGAGCTATATGATGGTATAATGATGGAATAGTGTGATGATATAAAGATAGAGCAGTGTGATGGTATAACAATGGAGCAGTATGATGATATAATGATGGAGCTATGTGATGGTATAATGATGGAGTAGTGTGATGATATAATAATGGAGCTGTGTGATAATATAATGATGGAGCTGTATGATGTAATGATGGAGCAGTGTGATGATATAATGATAGAGCAGTGTGATGGTATAATGATGGAGCAGTATGATGATATAATGATGGAACAGTGTGGTGATATGATGGAGAAGTGTTATGATATAATGATGGAGCAGTATGATGATATAATGATGGAGTAGTGTGATGATATAAAGATGGAGTAGTGTGATGATATAAAGATGGAGCAGTGTGATGGTATAACGATGGAGCTATGTGATGGTATAATGTTGGAGCAGTGTGATGATATAATGATGGAGCAGTATGATGATATAATGATGGAGCAGTATGATATAATGATGGAGCAGTATGATGATGATATAGTGTAACGGACCGTTTCTCTCACAAGAGGATAAAAACCGTTTAGGCGATAATCCCCTTTCCCATAGACCAGCAGCTACTGCAAGCACCAAACTCCCGAACTGCAAACTGTACGAATTCTCCAACTCCCGAACTGGAAACACATGAACACTGGAATAGGCCGAACAGGAAAAGCATACAATCCGCTTACACTCCTGGCAGTCAGCATACAATCCAATTCCCCCCAAAAACGAGACGACACATCGGTTTGAGGGTCAAGCAGGAACTCTCTGTACTGTCACATACAGTCTCTTTTATTCCCAATCCACAAACATAGTACAGCCCACAGGGCGTTACAAAACAACCAATCAATCCGTACAATACACCCAGACACTCCCACACAAAATCCTCCCCTCTGCATGTGATATGATTACTGAACACAATGGGTAATCTCATTATCACCGGCAGAGGAATACAGTTTTTACACAATATTTATAACTTCTAAAATATACATGTCACAAACATAAAACATACATTTTCATAATCAATCCATTCAGGGGAACAACATATTAAAAAATGGCACGAATCAGACCAGGGGTTCAAAAGTTAAGGGAAAGTCCTTTGTGACTAAATGAAGCATGGCTTTCTGGCCCAAACCAGTTTCAGAGTCTTCTATCCTGGAGAGTAATTCAATTATCTCCCAGGACAGACACAAGACTCCATTAAGCACATGGTTGCAAAAAGACACAAAACACTTTAAAATACATAAAGTCACATTTACACATAACACACAGACATTTCACATATCCCCAGATAGCTGGGATCTGAGTGCACATTATTAGATGAATGGCACTCAGATCACACAAATAAGCCTTTCTGCAGGGGAAATAAACGGTTTAACCTGCAGGGCCATAGTCCAAAGGGAGCAGGCGAGCAACCAGGCTTCTCCAGTTCACAGTGGCGAGGTTGGTTTCGCCACACTTCTCCCCTTTACCAACTAGACTAACAGGGTATCTGACCTCCTGCCGGTCAGTGCCCTGGTTAGTCCAGCAACCCACCCACAAAACAGAAACAGCAGTACAGCCCACCCACAATAACTGGTTACTACACCTGGGTAGAGGAGAACTTTGTCCATGTCCAGGTGCCTCACCACGACTGTGTGGGCAGCTGTTAGGCTGCCTTGGTGGGTTGCTGAGTGGGCAGAGACCAGCGGTACTCTGCCCTGATGCCAGTGCTACCACGGAAGTAGCCTGGTGGGAGCCTGGTTGTGGGAGGGAGAGACCGACTGTCTCCCCTCTGGATACACCGCTCTGTGGCTGGGGAACAGGACCGACTGTCCCTACCCCTTGTGCTGTAAGTGCAGAGACTACAGTCCCATCTGCACTGTTGGGGGGTGTAACATCTCCCCTTGCTGGGTTAGGCTGCCGCTGGAGAGAGGGTGTAACAAGCTCCTCTCTCTGAACTGTAAACTGCCGCTGGGGAGAGGGGGTATCAGGCTCCTCTCCCTGACACTCTCTCTGCTGGTGGAGAGGGGGACCAGCTGTCTCCCCTTTCATTATTTTGTCCTGTTGTTGGGGTGCGAGATTGACGGTCTCTGCTCCCTGCAGGACCCTCTGCCGCTGGGGAGGAAGGACGGCACCTTCAGCTCCCTGGGGTACACACTGCCGCTGGGGAGGAAGGACTGCACCTTCGGCTCCCTGGGGTACACACTGCCGCTGGGGAGGAAGGACGACACCTTCAGCTCCCTGGGGTACACACTGCCGCTGGGGAGGAAGGAATGCACCTTCAGCTCCCTGGGATACACACTGCCGCTGGGGAGGAAGGACTGCACCTTCAGCTCCCTGGGATACACACTGCCGCTGGGGAGGAAGGACTGCACCTTCAGCTCCCTGGGGTACACACTGCCGCTGGGGAGGAAGGACTGCACCTTCAGCTCCCTGGGGTACACACTGCCGCTGGGGAGGAAGGACGCACCTTCAGCTCCCTGGGATACACACTGCCGCTGGGGAGGAAGGACGGCACCTTCAGCTCCCTGGGGTACACACTGCCGCTGGGGAGGAAGGACGACACCTTCAGCTCCCTGGGATACACACTGCCGCTGGGGAGGAAGGACGGCACCTTCAGCTCCCTGGGGTACACACTGCCGCTGGGGAGGAAGGACACACTTCAGCTCCCTGGGGTACACACTGCCGCTGGGGAGGAAGGACGACACCTTCAGCTCCCTGGGGTACACGCTGCCGCTGGGGAGGAAGGACGGCACCTTCAGCTCCCTGGGGTACATGTTGCGGAGCTGCAATTTTATAATCCCAGGATCTCTGCTGGTAGAATGCAATAACCAAGTACAAAGCTGGAAGCAGGCAATATTCCCAAATCCTCCCAAGAACCAGACGAAACACAGTCTGAGAGTCAACTGCCACTTTATTCAAAAAGACTGATATATAAAGCAGGTCACTCAACTGTCACTTTATTAAAAATAACTGATATTTAAAGCAGGTCACTCAACAGGGGTTTCCAATTGAGGGGACTGGAGGGAGACTACCGTTTCCAGGTCCTCCTCCCAACAGCCCCTGCTGTAACATACAGTAATGAAAACCACGAGGACATAAACCGTTACCTTTCAACTTCAAAATATACAACTTAGTCAGTTTTAATAGCAATGCTAATGAATGGGGAGGATTCGAACAGACATACACAGTACAGCATAAATTAAACATAGACGGAGACGCCACACTATACCGGCGCGCAGTACACAACAGAAAATAGGCACAACCATTCTATCTTAGGCAGTCCCAAGTGGCTAGGTTTGCCACAGTACACACTGCCGCTGGGGAGGAAGGACGACACCTTCAGCTCCCTGGGGTACACACTGCCGCTGGGGAGGAAGGGAGGAAGGACGACACCTTCAGCTCCCTGGGATACACACTGCCGCTGGGGAGGAAGGACGACACCTTCAGCTCCCTGGGGTACACACTGCCGCTGGGGAGGAAGGGAGGAAGGACGACACCTTCAGCTCCCTGGGATACACACTGCCGCTGGGGAGGAAGGACGACACCTTCAGCTCCCTGGGATACACAATGCCGCTGGGGAGGAAGGACGGCACCTTCAGCTCCCTGGGATACACAATGCCGCTGGGGAGGAAGGACGGCACCTTCAGCTCCCTGGGGTATACACTGCCGCCGGGGAGGGCGGACGATACCTTTGGCGCAATCTGCCACGACCTGCAGGTACTCTGCTACATGTCTCCTCACGCGCTGCACGGACTCCTCCAAGGGGGTGTAGGATCCATAGAGAGCCAGCCGTGTTTTAAACTCTCTGTCAAACTCCTCCTGAGTGTAGCTGGGCGCCATGTTTGCTCCGCCGAAGTTGGTTCCTTTGTAGATAGGGTCACTGTACGGGTACTAGCGTTGCCCTCAATTTGTAATCGAGGAATTGATGTTGTCTTGTAGCTGTCCTTCTGGGCTGTGGGAATGATCCCGCCGCTTGCCACCAATTGTAACGGATCGCCTGGCACCCCGACTGGGTACCTCCGTTGAAGGATGCTCCTAGCGCTTCCTGAGGACTCCAAGCACTGCAGCAGACACCACAACTACCGAACCGGAGAAGCATATGAATCCTCTCAAGCATTTGAATGCTGTAGACAGTTGAATAGGAACCATACGAATAGGTTTACTCTCCTAGCAGTCAAACTGGAACAGCATACAATAAATCCTTCGCCCAATAATGAGACGACACTTCACTTTGAGGGTTAAACAGGAACTCCCTGTACTGTCACATACAGTCTCTTTTATTCCCAATCCACAAACATAGTACAGCCCACAGGGCGTTACAAAACAGCCAATCAATCCATTCAGGGGAACAACATATTTAAAAATGACACGAATCAGACCAGGGGTTCAAAAGTTAAGGGAAAGTCCTTTGTGACTAAATGAAGCATGGCTTTCTGGCCCAAACCAGTTTCAGAGTCTTCTATCCTGGAGAGTAATTCAATTATCTCCCAGGACAGACACAGACTCCATTAAGCACATGGTTGCAAAAAGACACAAAACACTTTAAAATACATAAAGTCACCTTTACACATAACACACAGACATTTCACATATCCCCAGATAGCTGGGATCTGAGTGCACATTATTAGATGAATGGCACTCAGATCACACAAATAAGCCTTTCTGCAGGGGAAATAAACGGTTTAACCTGCAGGGCCATAATCCAAAGGGAGCAGGCGAGCAACCAGGCTTCTCCAGTTCACAGTGGCAAGGTTGGTTTCGCCACATATAGCAATGGAGCAGTGTGATATAATGACAGAGCAGTGTGATCAGTGGCGTACATACCAGGGTCGCAGGGGTCGCGGTTGCGAACGGGCCCGGCCCACCAGGGGGCCCGGCCGCCCCTGCGACCCGGTATGTAGCCACAGGGCCAGCCTCTTCCCCTGGGGGGCCCAGGAGCCGGCCACCCCAGGGCCCCCCTGAGGCTGGCCCTGCTGACCCTGGCGGGCTGGGTGGCCGGTCGGGCAGGCAGGCGGGCGCGCGAGGGAGCACTCAGTGTGTGTTAGTGTTACAGTGTGTGGGTGTTAGTGTGTCTGTTACTGAGTGTGTCTGTTACTGAGTGTGTCTGATGTCTGTTAGTGAGTGTATGTTTGTCAGTGAAAGTGTATGTTTTGTAAGTGAGTGTATGTATGTCTGTCGCTGAGTGTGTGTCTGTCAGTAAATGTGTGTGTCTGTTAGCTAGTGTGTATGCGTCTGTTCATGAGAGTGTGTGTCTTTACCTTTCTCCAGCGCCGGACTTCCTTGGCGCTGGGGATCCCTCCGCCTTTTAGCTCCGAATGCATATGTGCTGCAAGAGGCGCACACGCGCATTTAAGCCGCCCATAGGAAAGCATTACTTAATGCTTTCCTATGGACATTGAGTGTCTTCTCACTGTGATTTTCACAGTGAGAATTGCGGAATCTCCGCTAGCGGCTGTCAATGAGACAGCCACCAGAGGCTGGATTAACCCTCAGTGAAACAGCCGTTTCTCTGAAACAGCTATGTTTTCAGCTGCAGGGTTAAAACTAGAGGGACCTGGCACCCAGACCACTTCATTGAGCTGATGTGATCTGGGTGTCTGTAGTGGTCCTTTAGGTGTGTGGGCAGCATGCCCGACCAGGTGCCCGCAGCCATGTGTTGCGGCACCGACCCACGCCGAGTAAGCGCGCGGGGGGGCCCACGGATCAATTTTTGCACCGGGGCCCCGTGGGTCATGTGTACGCCACTGAGTGTGATGATGTAATGATGGAGCAGTATGATATAATGATGGAGCAGTGTGATGATATAATGATAGAGCAGTATGATGATATAATGATGAAGCAGTATGATGATATAATGATAGAGCAGTGTGATGATATAATGATGGAGCAGTATGATATAATGATGGAGCAGTATGATATAATGATGATGCAGTGTGATGATATAATGATAGAGCAGTATGATGATATAATGATGGAGCAGTATGATGATATAATGATAGAGCAGTATGATGATATAATGATGGAGCAGTATGATGATATAATGATGGAGCTGTATGATATAATGATGGAGCAGTGTGATGATATAATGATTATGCTGTGTAATGATGTAATGATGGAGTAGTGTGATGATATAATGATGGAGCAGTATGGTGATATAATGACGGAACAGTGATATTAGGTGAAAGGTGTCATAAAAATAAGTAGGTAATGTGACAAACTCCCCTTTCCAAGTGAGTGTGCCACGAGTTCCTGGAGGAGCCTGCTTGCCAGCCTCCTGTCAACAGACTATGGACCCTGTAAAATGTGATGTAAAAGTCTCCGTTGATATATTTGGTCTATATGG